CCCCCAGAAATCTTGTAAAAGGTTCAACGTAGAGCTAAAGTCCAAAAGAAATTGAAATTGAGAGCAGAAATGAAATCATGACGATGTCACTTATATCCTGTGAATGAAAACAAATGTACAACTTGGGTTTCTTGAATCTTAGACTGCTTTGAATTCCCTAGAAACCACTTAGAGTTCTTAAGTCTGGATTTGCAGGTAACAACAGGGATAGTAACAGGACCATATATGTAAGGAAACTGATAATTCAAGGGAAATAATGTCTGTGACCTTCACGGTGCATAACAGGAATTAAATGGTTATTATTTCCTTCCCATCATTTGTTGATCAACAAAGAACTAGATAACACTTCATACTCAAAAGCACAGTGTGTGATTTTAGTATGTATCTTACAGCCAGACTGGCCACGGCTATTAGATTACCATGATGAATGACATAGGGACTTCTAAAAGCCCCTTAGTTAGATGAAAGGTTGATAAAAGAGACTGATTGCAAAAGCCACTGTGTGTCATCTGTGGAAGTGAAAGAACTCCAGCTTCACGTGCAAACTTCCTGCCAAAGAACTATCTGTCAATTCTGTGCCCCATAGTGTATGTGTTTTCTCTGTTGGGAAAAAAATGTGAAAAATTTGGAAACCACAATACTGAAGTGTCTGGGAGCGCATGAAACACATGATCCAAAACCAAAATATATGCAAGAGAACTTCAGCCAAGTATGGAGCCTCACAACTGTGGTCCTAGAGCTTGGGACATAGATGCAGGAGGATAAAGAATTCAGTGTCATCCACGGTTCATAGAAAGTTCAAGGATATTCTTGGCTACATGAAAAAAGGAAAGGAAAGGAAAGGAAAGGAAGGAAGGAAGGAAGGAAGGAAGGAAGGAGGTTTCAGCTTCTGGTGCGTTGGGGTCCCTGGGTAAGGGTCTCACACAAATGAGGGCACAGGGGATGCAGAGTATAAACAACTGTATAACAAGCTTTATTTTGTATGGCTTTTTATACAGACTAAAAAGCATTACCTCAACTCTGAAACCCCCCTTTACTCAGGTACATGATCATGAGAAACTCTTACCTCACCTTGTAAGAAACAATACCTCAATTAATAACAGTAATAAAAATGAAAAAAAAAGTACATAGAAACAAAGCAAAAAGTATACAGAAGCAAAGCACTCCTTTATATCTGATAGAGCGTGAAGAACTCAAAGGCCACTTCCTTATCCAGGGTACAGATTCTGACAGAAGGCATGAGAAATGGGCAGAGAAAGTTTGCTTTCATCTGTGCTTGGTTTGCCAAGCAACCGTTTCCCAACCTCGTCTCATCTGTCCCAGGAGGAGCCTGCACTCTAAGCCAGTTCTGTGTCTCCACAGGTAGGAAGGAAGGAAAGAAAGGAAAGGAGTTTGAGAATAAACAAACAATTTCAAATAATAATGTTTCGAAATCAGAAGTCTCAGTCAAGTCTTAGGAAACAAGCTGAAAAGAAGTAGAATAATGCTTCCTATAACATATAGAAGGGCTGATTTAGTCCCAGCCCCAAAAGACTGGCT